TAAAAAAATATTCCAAAATAAATTTTAATGTCTGTTTATTTGGTCAAATTTTGGGGAGTGATCAGGCCGGGAGGTTTAAAGCACTTTTACTTTCGAATAAGTTTTTATTTTTATTTTTTTAATCTTCGATCAAGGTAGATAACCACAATCATGTTTTAATTCAGGTTATCTCCCTTATGATCGCTTTTAAAGTATTTTTATGCATAGTTGTAAATTTAATATCGAGCATAGTCAGAATTCATTTTTATCTTAGTTTAATAAAATATCCCAAAAAAAAGAAAAATTAAATATATTATTCATATGTAAATCTCATGTTTTTTCTAATATCAGAGAGCAAATATTTGTTTTATTTGATATATTTAACTTTAGCAGTACCAGTTAACATACCTTTTCAATTCTATTGGCACACGAAACTGACAGTGTGCATACATATTCACCCTCCTTTATGTGTACTCATGCACCTTGTACCATTTTTTTGGGTGTTTAATACACACACACACACACACACACACACACACACACACACATATATATATATATATATATATATATATATATATATACATACATTCAGTTTTTCTTCCACAGCTTTACAAGGAATAACTATTTCTTAAATATTTCAAGTATCTGGCTCCAGCAAGTTCAGCAGTTCATGAAATTTGTTGTGTATTTCCTGGTACTTGTACTTGGATGTTAAATGATCACAGTCCATCAAGTTTTTTTTTTCATATTTTTGATTATTACATCAAGCAACATTATACAAGGAAGGTAAAATAAATCCATGGTTTTCAATTAAATGAATATCTTTAAATGCATCAGTTTTGATTCTATCATCAATTTCCTTTTCAAATTTCCCAGTACTTTTTTTGAGTATTCAAATGCCTTTTTTGGCTCTTGACAAAGTTAAACATCTTGCTTGAAGGGGAAATTTCTTGCAGCATATCTATCATCAATGCCAAGTCATGCAAAAAATATTCATTACAAAGACAGGCAGCCATTTCTGAATGTTTCATCTCACCTGAGAAATATCTGTACAATGCTGGATAATCCCGTCATACAGCAAGTGCAGATCTGAAACAACAAACAGCTCATCTTGGTCCCATAACTCTACTTATCTTCAGAATTTGTTGCCCAAGTTCTTCAGAAATTTTGACAAATTTCATTTGGTTTTTGTTTGATTGGTGAAATATTGTGTAGATATTTTGAAGTGCTTCACTTGCTTTATTTCTAAATCAAGTTGCAAACAATGATTTAAACAATGCTGATTGACAATGTTAGGAAAATTGTTTTTTAATCTACTGCCTACTCCAGAATTGCGGCCAACCATTACATTTGCTCCATCTGAACAGAAAGCAATTAAATTATTTCTCAAATATTCATTATCAAATCCAGCAGAGTGCAAACTATTTAACAAGGATGTATATATTGTTTCTGCTCCTTGTCCTTTTAATTCGACCAGATCCCAAAAAATTGTTGGTGATAGATTGCAATCTTCAATCCTTAAAAAAATTGCAAGTACAGTTTTACTGGATATGATTGAAGTTTCATCAATGATGACACAAATCTTTAATTTTTGTTCAATAATTTTAGTAAATATTTCTTTCTTTATCTTCTTTGCAATATGATCTACTATTTTCACAGCATTTTTTCAGGAATGAAGTCCAACACCCAAGTCTTATCTATTTTTCATTTGAAGCTGAATCTCATCTTCAACATCAGAAAATGGATGGCTTCTCTTTGCTAAACTGTAGACTGTATTGAAAACTCTTTTAGTAGAGTTTATATATTTCAATTTATCCATGGCTTTTGTAATTGCATCATCAACACAATCTTGTAGGCATTTAGCACAAATGCTGTGAGCCTTTGATGAGAAATGCTTATTCATCTTTTTTCTTAGAAAAGCTTTCTGAACTGTTTTATCCCTTCTTGAAGGTCCAATACTACAGCAGACCCATTCCATTAATATATGAATTTCTTTCATGTTTATGGATTCAGAATAAAATTTGGCACATAAATCACACCCAGCTTTTTTACTGCGAATAATCAACCCATCATACTTTTCCTTAAAGTCTTTATACTATTCCATACTCCAGCAGCCTGGAAGAGCTAATGCTTCAGATGCTTCACCTCTAGTTTTCATGTCATCAGGAGCAGAACTATCATTAGCATCATGCTTTTCTAAAGTTGGCTGTAATTTCATCCTTATTAGCCTCTTGCCTGAAACTTTCATTTCTGTTGATTTTTCAAAAAAAGTGAACTAAATCTTGTTATCTCTTCATTTTAGGGTCCTGATACTGAAGTGAAAAAATTACTAGTTGCTATGAGGATGTTACTATATCTGAAGAAATTAAAATTATAATAATAATAATAATTTATTTCCTTTGATCTGAAGTCAAATAGAAAAATGTTTGAATATGAAGTTCAATAGAAAAAAATGTTTAATTTAAACAAATTTTATATTTATTAAGTTGTAAATCTATTTGTAAAATATAAAACCTGCTAAGTATTTGATCAGTAAAAATATTAGTTCAAATTAAAGGCACTTATGGGCAACAAAAAGTGAAATGTATTGGATGAGGTTGTGCTAAAAGGCTCACAAATTACATGGTTACTATTCTATATCAAGTCTATTGTAAATTCCTCTTTGATATAAATGTGCAAATTTATTTGTATAAAGTGTACATTGTAGAAATAATTTTTATAAAAATTCAATGGCCTGTCATGGGGCCCAAGGCAATGACTCTGATTTTTGAATAGCACTTGCCATGGCTAAATATTCATTTTCTTTTTAAAATTTGAGCCCCCCCCTCACTCTCCTAAGAAAATTTTTTTGGCTATGCCCATGCTATTGCATAACTTTTATTTACATCCTCAACTGATTATGTGACTACAATTTGTAGACAATCTAAAATTACCAGTTTGTTTGCTTGGGTTTTATAAAATTCTAAGAACAGGTTTGCACGAACCTGCTGCTCCCACCGCTATCTATATATATATATATATATATATATATATATATATATATATATATATATATATATATATATATATATATACACACACACACACACACACGGTGTGATGGGTAAATTGTTGCCACTTTATATTTTTAATTTCCTGCATGCTCATTGTTTGTTTTTGATTTTGTTGACTGCACACTATAGTAGGTTCATTTGGGCACTGCCTGTGAGAGAAAAAGAGCACCATGACGCAATTCCGTCTGCTGGAAATTTGGAAACTCGATGCTGTACTGTTTGGCATTCATGCCAGAAGCTCCAATACAGACATTTCAGAGTGTTGGATGTCAATCTGAGGAAAGTGCAGCAGATTCAGAAAGAGGTGGTTGAGTCTAATGGTGATTATGAATGTGTTTAGAGTGATCACTAGTGATGGCAACTTTGTGCCTCCATTCATCTTCCGACAGGGCCTCAAACTCAATGTGGAGGCCTGCATAAAGTACCTTGAGGAGGTAGTGTTGCCCTGGGTCAAGAGGGTGGCTGCTGGATGACCTTATGTCTGGTAACAGGACTCTGCACCATGCCACACAAACAGGAGAACCTGGTCTTGCATTTCAGGAATTTTCTGTAACCACATCACCCCTTACATCTAGCCACCTATCTCCCCAGACTGCAATTCCCTTGATTATTGTGTGGGGCGCAGTTGAACAAGCGACCAACAAAACGGAGGCCATGTTTGAAGCCAATGGTGATTTTTATTGAATAAATTTACTCTTTAGTATTTCAAGATAATTTTGTGTAATTTTTAAAATGAGATGTCTGTTATTTTCATTTTTGTGTAATTTAGATGACAATTTATCCGTCGCTCTCTCTCTCTCTCTCTCTCTCTATATATATATATATATATATATATATATATATATATATATAAGGCTAATGGCTGGCCACTTGTATTTGAGAATACCCATCTACTAGGGCAGCTAGCTAATCCATATGGCAGATGCTTGCTCAGGCACATTTTTGTGTTTGTTCATCACCCACAGAGAGAGCCCACCTGTGGTCTATAGTGCAACTATGCTGAGCAGACTTTAGTTACAGTTTCTGGGAGAGAAGCATGTTATCTAGCATGATCAACAATCTGTACAAGGTCAGCATGCTCAAACACTTGGTCACGATGACTTGTGACTGTGTGCTAGCACAGGCATCAACAGCCCACAAAGGTTTCGTTAGCACAGTTTCACTCATGAGGCTTGGGTCAACTCGTAGTATGGTTTTCAGGCTCTTTCCAAAGGTGCCACCTGCTGGGACTGCCACTTCCAGACCAGTAACATCAAGAAGTCACCTTCCTGACAAACTGAACATTGTGAGATTCAAACCCAGGCTTCGTGGTCAGAAAGTAACCATTTTAACCACTTGGCCATTTTATATATATATATATATATATATATATATATATATATATATATATATGTGTGTGTGTGTAAAATATATAGAAAATAGGAAAGAACTCGTTAGGTAAATAATCCAAAGTTCTTTACTATTTTTGTTGTTATTTTTAAAAATAGTGCTCAATACAAAAGTAGAGCATAAATATAATTATTTATATATATATATATATATATATATATATATATATATATATATATATATACAATAAATATTTTAGTGGATACCCATATTTGATTAGATGATCTATCCAGTGAGTGCATATTTTATTTTATAAGTTTTCACAAATATAAATATAATGCTACCCAATTGCAGGCACTCCTGGATTGTAAACATGTGAAACTTGCAGATGCATTTGAGTGTTTTCTGGCCTTAAATGATTAAGCATTTAAACATTTTGTTAAGTGTCTACTAAAAATATGGGCATCCACTAAAAATAACATTTAAGTAATAATATCTGTCAGATTAATAAACACACACAAACACAGAGACATTGATGATAGTGGTTTTAATAGCATAAACTCAATGCCATTTGCAATTGGAAGTATATGAATTGAAATTCCTGCATAAAGATATTCTTCTTTTTTTATTTTTAAGTCAGAAAAATGTGAACATCTCAAGCAAGAGAAGTGGGGTAAAATGGTTGACATTTTGGGACCCAACATGCCTCAACAGCTGTCTAACTTTGATGAACAGTTGGTTTGTATACAATTTTATTGATTTTCAAAACTCACATTTTTTTAAGGATTTTTTATTCAACGTTATTTCTCATTGCTATAAATGTTATTTTTAATGGGTTAGCAACTGAAACCCATGTCCTCACTAAAAATAATATTTATAGTAATAGTATATTTATTGTACTTTTACATACAATTTTGGTACACTGCCGAAGAAAAACATTTGCTCAACATGGGGTGCAAAACCGAGACTAAGAGTTTCGTACTCTACCAACTGGGCTTGCCAAGTGAACATTTATAGTAATAGAAAATAATGTCAGATAAAAAAATCCTTTCAAAAACTTACTGTTGTTTACATTTTGAGTACAAAACTGATTCAAGCAGATATAGATTCATAGAAGTCCCAACAAGGAAAAATATGCTTTTGTTAATATTTTTATTGAAACCTTGCCCTATCAGGCAGGCTCTGTGGCCAAACTGGTAGAGGTACACTGATTGATTAATTGTTCAATTGAACCAAATTTGTAGATTGTACAAATTCTGAGCTTTTTTCTCTCTTTCTTAATTATTTATTATTACAATTTTTAATTGTAATTTTTATTTGTATCTTCTGCAGAAACTAAAAGTGGAGAATGCCCAACAAGTGTACAAGACAAGCCGTACGAATCTGAAATCTCTGAAAGTCAAAGTCTGTGAATTGAAGACATCTTGTGAAGAACTTTTGCAGAAATTGCAGCAAAAAGAAGAAGAATATAAAATATTAAAAAAAGAACAAGATGAAAAGACATCACGAGTGCAAGCTGATTTTGACATGTAAGTAGTTTACTAACTTTTTGTCTTTCACCCTCTATGCACATTCATTAGATTTGTAAGATTTTATTGTAAGTTTCTCTAAAAGACTTCATATAAAATATCTCAAAAAATACAAGAATAACAACATGAATATTTCAAAAAACAAATAGAAAATTCTAAAAGAGGTAATGACGTAACTGCCTATCAATAAACTGAAAACTTCTTTAATTTTTTAGTCATGAATTGGAGCTCAAATATAACAGTTTATAATGTTTTTGTCAAATTGTAATAAAAGAAAAAAAAAATGAAATTCAAGAGCCACTCAAGGTAGTGGGTTACTGTTTGGACTTATATTAGCATAGGAAAGAATAAGTATAAGAAGCAGACTTTAGAAGGAACCAGACGCCCAGTCCTAAACAGGAGACAAGGAATAAACCTCCTGTGTCAAGAACTGAGGAGGAGTGTGAACTAGACAATAGGCGAACCTATCTACTCCTATTAAATGAAATTATTTAATCTTATTTTTAGCTTTCTAAAACATATTCTTCATTAACTCTTCTGCATAGAATTATGTAACTAATTCACAAACCTAGTCAATGATTAGACAAATATAAATTTATTGTAAGTCATTCTTTCATACATCTTTTTAATTTAACAGCATAAGCATGATATAATTTTTAGCTTAAGACCATTTCTGAGGAGAAAATTTAGACACCTAATGCTGAAGAAATTTTATATCCTCTTGTAATAATTTACATGTTTGTATTTGCTGTCATTCATTCATTATTCTGTATGCTTTCAGAATAATAGGATAACCTCATGCAGTGATGTGACATTATTACTTTCATCAATTTTAATGTTATAAGAAAACTTTATGAAACAAATAATATTTTTTTATAGAACTGTATTATCTTTGTGTTATGTGAGGGTCAATAATAAATGAAGATTCTTTTGAAAACGAACAAAATATGTAAATATTCTCACCAACTGTATTGCTTAACAAAAGTGAAGAAAACAGTAAGTAAATAAAAAAAAAAAGGATAAACTTTTTGTGGTGGACAGAGAGAGAAAGAGATCATTTATTGATGTCTGCACTCAATGCCAAATTATTGCAGGCATATAAAAAGAACTTTTGCCACTATCCACATTGTGTAGATATCAATAAATATATGTTTGTATTGCAACAAA